TTGGCAGATATGTACAACATTTGGCGGGGGTTAACCCCTGATCATGTCTAATTTAGTTAAATATCTTGCCATATGATGGAAGTGGGCTTTGTTAGATTGTACTTATTTGGTTGTAGGGGAAGGAAAACAATCAAGCACCGTTATTCAGGGCGTGATTGAGTAGCAACTTCCAAATAACCTATTGCGTAGCTCCAGTGGATAGGAGATGTACTCTTAACGGCTCTTATGCTCTCCAAGCGTTTTGCACAGAACACACCACATCTAGAAAGATACTACCGCGGATTCCGGAAAGGTAACAGATGCCACCATATCCGTGTCGTTTCCTTACCTACAACGATGATGCTTGCTTCACCTCAAACAAATTATTGCGGTTTCATTGTATAACATAATTCCATAAGTTTAGTTGAAAACAGTGCTACTAGTTGTATTTCCTGAAATTTTATATACATTTATGAGGCAAAGTAGCGGACGCGGATACACGCTTGAGGCAGGGAGACTTGGATACAGAACATACCTTTCCAAAGTGACTGGGCAACCCAAGCACAGGAGACATTATAGAGGCCCAGTGAGGTACACAAGTGTGATTGTTGACTTTTTTCTAATTAATCCGGTGGTGGTGATTCTTGAAAGTCAACTAATGTCACTTGAAGTATTTGCCGAATCGTCGTACACATGTCATTTGTCATCGCTCATGTGCTGTTCTTTAGACAAGTCATGTTCAGTTAGTAGCCCGTTCGTGCTGCACTGGGTGATTATAGAAGACTTGATTTTCACAGACTGTGATGTAGAATCTATCGACAAGTCGTATTCTGCCTCGGAAGCGTCGCTAGACTCTTCGCTCTCGCTCGGTGCCTCAAGCCCGGTGATGAGGCGTACACATGTGTGGTAGCTTAGGCTAACAGCTGGATATAGCAGGCTGCAGTTTGACTTCTCAGCTTTGCCGACGCAAGGTAGATCAACGAAAGCTATCGGACCGTGTGGCACACCATTGAGGTAGAATCCCAAAGTTCCCCGGTCGCAGTCTAGTCGGACGCCAACAGTACTGGTTGCAGGTGAGCTTCGTTTGCAGTGGGGTGTTTCATTCTCGTTCGGTGATTGTGCCTTTGTCACAGCGATTCCACCATCGGTACGATCTCGATGTTGACCGGCATGTAGAAACCAAGACCGGCTGGCGTTGAGATACATCGCCCAACCAGCATTGTCCAGTCCTACAGCATAAGGCATCAGTTGAAAGAGACAATTAATAAGACAGCAATATTTACTGGGTAGAGATCAGTGGCTAGTTAACAATGTAATTATGTAGGAAATTTGCATTATCAATTGCGACGGAGTTACTAAAGACGACTCCGGTCGCAGACAGTCTGACCGGTTTATAAATTCAAGAGGTTCTGTTTCGCGCCAAAAATGTATGGTTTATCATTAGTACAAACCAAGTTCATTTTGGGACTACAAAAGAAAAGAGGCGCTATTGTACTGTCATCGCTATTGTATTCAACCTCCTCTCAGTTCAACTGGTTAACCATGTGGGTGACCCACTAGTTAACAGCTTGTGTGTTGTACTGCCGAGCATACTGTTCAGCCACAAACGCAGTCGCTAAGATTGTGGAAGAAGATGATGATGATAGTGCCACTAACCTCCAACTTAGAATCTCCCTTTCTCTTATATTTAGGTAGTCATAACGACTGTGCAATCCGGTTGACAGCTAAGAAGACATCCTACCGTTGTAAAGTGCTCAGCTCGCTTTATCGCTACACACCTTGTACTTTCACAGTTCGCAGTAAGGCCCGAGTTGCCAGTAACCAGTTATCCATAAGTAGCAGTGTTTCATTAACTTACTCTAGCTAGCTGCCCGATAAGCGTTCTACATATGCCTGTTTGTGGATTACGAGTCGCCGCTCCTTCTCATCCAATACGGTAGCGAATATGTAGAGGCTTAAATTCATAAAGATCGAAATGTTACTGTATAAACAGAGTCCCAGCCATCAAAAGCATTTTCTCCGAAATCCGTGACATACACATTGAACTGTTAGACGACACTGTCGATTGAACCCGTCAGTGAAGGAAAAGTGACCGTTGATTTTTACTCACCGGAAGGACTGAATATCGCTAATCGGCGAAGCAATGTCAGTGCTTCTAGATATCGGCTGTTATGTCTGGAGAACCAGTCGGCTGTTCACCGCAAACGGTGGTGTACGACCATTTATCTTCCTATCCGGATATGAATGGACAGTTTCCGCACTCTTATACTACTTGATCTGTACTGCAGAGCGACACACAGCCTTTGCAGCTCGTCTCAATGTCCTGATGCTTTTATTCGAACCAGCCACGTTGATACTAGCTGAGCAGGTAATTTAGCTACATTTTGGGTAACTGTTCTTGACTGAAAACTTCCTTTTGCACCCTGGTAACCCCATTGGCGGCCAAAAGTCATTGTTTCCGAAAGCGAACCATTGTTTCACTAGACGTTACTGTGCTTATCTGTTGTTGTTGGTGGCATCTGATCGGCCCCCAACTCCATCCCCTCTCAGTGGTTGCTCTATGTATTTACTAGCTTTTCTGATGCATCAACCTGCCTCAACGCTAAATAAACAGTTTAGTTTTCGGTACAACTTAGCCTGTTCTTTCTGCTTTATCGCTCTTACCACAGAAGCGAGTGGAAGCATATAGCAGGGTGGACACATCACCTAGTACATGTGGTGCAACCAGAGATGGTGTCCTGATCAGAAGTGTCCCTTGGTCTTTGGAAACTCGTCTGTGTTGACTTTTCGCATTTATGTTATGACTTTTTATTTGTTTACGCCTGTGATCGCCTTAAGGTAGTAATGCCAATTTCGAAAGCAACCGCTGCTCAACTTATCACTTCCAGACAATGTTCTATTGATCTAGATGTCCAAGTTTTACTTCACAGCAACTCATGACCCAACTGCGATCGCTTAGAAAGTCCCAAAAATGAAACGTCAACTCTTGTTCTGAACTAAGGGTACACGAGATTTGCTTCACATACTGCCTGTCAAAGGCCTTCCTCGCCTGTTACAGCTGTCAGACGCCCCATTCACTTTGGATCCGCTCGTGCACATGTGTTTTCGGCAGGTTTTTACAGCCCTACTGGACCTCCGTGTATACACTACTGAAGAACTTCGCATTCGGAGACAGGCTAATAGCCTCAGATTCATCGCATCCCATCCATTCGGAAACTGCACGTGATGTTGCATGTCTCAGCGCCCTCATGCACAATATTTATAGAGGAATGAATCTCATGCGTCTACTTATTCGGACAATGTTGATTTCGCAAAGGTGACATGTAAAACCGCAAGCATACTTTTCTCCAGGCCAGTGGAATGCTTAATATTCAGATTTTGCTTTTTCAGCGATCTTTTTGGATAGCAAGATGAAAAGTTGTTCTTTCAAGACCAATAAATGCGATTATTAACGCACACACACTACATATACTCGCAGGTCACAAGTCCGGTGACACATATGAGCTCGGAGACCAAAGCTTGAAGACGGCTTCCCATGAGCGCGACCTTGGGGCGGCGATTTATGATGATGTCGGATGTTCGGGGAAATCTGTGGTGTCTGAAACCGGGAACTAACATGCTGTCCTCTTGTGGAGGACATTCGGGCGGTCTGAACATTCCATCTCCCCACGAATGCTCAAGGTGCATACAAGACCCCGTGTGGAGTACGCGATTTAGGGTTGGTAACCCTGGCTAGAACGCAATCCGGCTGCATTGGAGACCTCATAACTGAAAGACTACCAAAAATTTGCAACGCTTGTTCCCTCTATCATACTGACTATAACTGAAAGCCCTTGGGGTGTACAGAAGAAATAATCGCCATTAACGGGATGAATTCGTACTGGAGTATGGGATTTTGAAAAACCCTAGACACGTTTACCGCCAACTTAAACTTAGTAGTAACACAAAACTGAGAGCCCACTGGCTGAAACGGCCCACACAATACAGTCGGTTGGAATGCTGCTGGGATTCTTTTTCCCTTAGAATTTGTCGGTCGCGGAACGCTCTTCCGATTTATTTGATTTTTGCGCCCCTGCCACTGATTTGTAGAAGCGACTCCACGACAAATTACACCATCTGCTTTAAGTGATACAAGTTTTGTTCATCGAGTGATGACAAGACGCATACAAGCATTGTGCTCACCAACCCCCACAAAATCAAGGTAAATGGACCTATACATGTATAAGGGTGGATAAAATGGTGAATCCACAAATACGTGTTTCACTTTAGTGGAATCTCTTGTTAAACCCAAGTACTTCAGATAACCATTACACGGGACCTGTCAAGCTTTGGATTTTTAATCAGCATTATATCATTGTTCAGGACAAACAAGTACTATACCTTGTAGACCAACGAAAAAGGATCCAACAATAGCGCCCAGACTGTTGTATGCTCAAATGTCCCTGAATCTACCGCCATCACATTACGGGATAAGTTATCAGACGACCAAGACTGATGGAACTCATTGTGCATGCAGATGAGTATCAAAGCCATGCCCACAAACTTATTATGAATTACACGTCATCCGAACTCGCCACACTATGGAGAACGCAGACTTATTCGATTAACATTAGAATCTTCCACCGAGGTAGAAAACAATGCTTTCCGCAAACGCGCTAAAACACGGATCTTGTGGGATACGCATCTATCCTGATGTCCCTTGGAGCGCGCGACAATCAAAAACAAACGCAGAAGGACACAGCAAGCAAAGACCTAAACAAAATCTTCATACACGGCGTGCCAGAACATCCTTCCAACGATGTTCAAGAGACCGGAAAGCACGATTTAGAACTGTGGCGGTTCATTCGCGAAACACTTTCTTTGGATAATATTGCGGTGCTATCGCTCAACAGGATACCTCTCTCATCAAATTATAGAGGATGCAGCCCTAAAATACTAAAACTTGTGGTTCAGTCAGAGCATCAAGCAAAGGATGTTTTGGATCGATGGCGGAGAAATCGGAAACGTCTTCCTTCGGAACTACGGTTAAAGGTCGAAGACGCTTTGTACAGTTCAAATATTAAAGCCCCTGGAGCAGCAAGCATACCGACGAATGTACAGAAGCGTAACTTGACTGCTGCTTTAATTGACTCTGACGTAGGTCTAAACGAAGATTGGGACACATCTTGGCCGAATCAAGTTGCAAACGAGGTATCATTATCCCATCAAAAAAGCGAGTAACTGCCGACCTCCCATCGGTCGGCATTCGCCCACACTTGACCCCTTCACCCCTCTGTGGGCTCCTAGAGACCGAAAAACTGGACTGTTTGTATACGAATCCTCAGGGTCTTTTTAATAAACTGGCCGAATTGAAAGATCGCCAAGCTTCCGGGACGTATGACGTCATTGGTATCTCCGAGACGTGGTTGCACACGGGAACGATGGACGCTGAATTTTCGCTACCGGGCGAGTAGCTGATCCAGAAATATAGGCACACAAAAGGAGGAGGAGTAATTCTCTATTACCGAAGCGACTTACAGTGCGAAGCTGTGGAGGGTTCAGACTGGCAGTTCCTTTACTCGCTTTGGGGTTACTCGTAGTTTAAAAGCAGAGACGCTTGACTTGTTTTCTTGGTTTACCGCCCCCTAACTCTAACCTGAAACCGACTGCCACCTAGCAGCTGCTCTAAGATGCAATTAACAAGGAAAATATATGAATACTTATCATGGGTGATTTCAATGTATATTGTGTAGAAACTAGCGCCGATATACAAGAACTCGTCAGCACTGTTCCTCTTTACAATTACAGCACTTTGCCTACGCGGTTCAGAACAGGTAACAGGCCATCTGTGCTGGATCTTGTGCTTACCAACGAGGAGCATATGACTGAGTGTTGGTATTGGACAGCCCGCTGGGTCGCAGTGATCACGCAGTCATGAGTTTCAACCTCATCTGCTATCAGGAACAGCGGAATGAAAACGATGAGTCTGTGCGAACCATCACAATCTACCATCGATTAGCCCAGCTCATCAGCGCTACAACTTGGTTGTTCCTTGCTGAAGAACCCCCGGAAGTCGCCTGGCTCGAGTTCGTCAACAACTTCAGTCAGTTGCCTGCAGTGGCTTCAAATTAAGAGTTTGCAATAAGTGTACAACAATTTCTTCCGTTAGGATCAGAACTCGAAAATGGAGGACAGTAAGCAACGCAACATGGCGAGTGAACAGAGAAGTTCCAGCACCAGAAAATAGGGACAACTACGTTGACCAATGTAATCACTGCACTTAACTGCTAAGAGTAGACAAAGCCGCCTATAAGGAGAACATCGCAAAAATCTTCAGTGCTAACCATAAACTGCTGTACAATCACGTCAATAGCCTACGAAAGTCGAGGCAAGGATTTCCTCCACTCAGCACGGACGAAGGCCTGAAAAGTGCAGCTGTGGAAGCAGCAAACGCCCTGCGGATGCAATATGCCCCCACGTTTCAGAGGGTCTTGCCAACAAGCGATCTTCCAACCTTTGTCGTCCTTTCGCTGGGACTAACCCACATCACTTATAACGCGGAGGCTGTATTGCAAAAGCTGATGTCTGTACGCAAACACAGTTCGCCGCGTGTCGATACCATTCGTCCAGAGGCATTGGAAGCGGAAGTAAGACAACTGGCAGGACATTTAGCTCAGTTTTCCCAGCGTTGCTTAGACCAGAACCAAGTTCCCACCATGTGGAAGCTTGGAATAATAACCCCGACTCACAAAGATGGAAGCAGAACTGAGCGCTCCAAATACCGCCCAGTATGCTTTCTTCCTATACTCTCCATGGTCATGGAATTCGTAGTTGCCGATGCACTGGTGTGCTATCTGGAAAACTGTAACATCATCACGCCTGAGCAGCACGATTTTCGCCGATTGCAGTCATGTACAACGAATTTACCAATCACATGTAGTGGTTGGACCGAGTTAGCTGACAGTGGAGAAGGCGTTGCTGTGATCTACCTCGACTTTTCGAGGACTTTCGATCATCTAGACTATCGGATACTATTCTCCAAGCTCCAGCATTACGGGATCGGCGACCCACTTTAAGCTGCATTGCTGACATTTTACTTTAACGGCAATTAGTGATCAGAGTTCGGATCTCTTTATCGGACCCCATACAAGTCGCCTGTGGTGTGCCGCAAGGCTCACTATTAGGTAGACGTTTGTTTTCCGTGTTTATTAATGGCCTTGCACAGTGAATCGCTTCAAACTTCCTACTGTTTGCCGACGATATCAAGATCTGGTGCAGAATCCAAGCGAACGCCGACCAGCATCTGCTTCAAATTGACCGAGATACATTGTATCAACTGTCAACTCAAAACTTATTGCATTTCAACGTCCGTAAAGGCAAGGTGCTTTGCATCCGATATCAGAGCAGCTACTCATACAGGCTCGGAACGAACATTCTGCAACGAGCATCTGTCGAACGTGACTTGGGGGTCATGGTTCAAGATGACTTGCTTTGCTTCAGGCAATCTGGGAAGGTCTCGAAGACCCGGAACCAACACGCCGGGCTGTTGCGACGGGCGTTCGGACAAATAAACAGCCCCATATTTCGGTAAATGCTCAGTGCGTATATTCCCCACCCCCATGTCGAATACGCAATTCAAGCCTGGCGTCCATGGCTGAAGCACGACCTTAATGCACAGGAGCAGACACAACCTCGGACACCTAAGAAAGTACGTGGAATACGCAATCTTTCATAACAGGAGGCGCTGTAACGATTGGGGTACTCAGTGGAAGCTATCGCAGATTACGAGGCGACATGATTATGGCATCCTTGATTCTGTGAGACCCACATCATGTGTGCTGCACCTTACTGCAACTCAGCAGCAATACCAACCTTAAGGGACTACTCTTGAAACTCGCTGTACAGTATAGCTGCCTGGAGTGCCGCAGAAATTGCTTTCCCATTCATGTCTGTCACCCGTGGAATACTATTCCAGAATCGGTCGTCTCTGCACTGACACTAACGGCATTAAAATACAGGTGGCTGTTACACTCATCCGATTACACGTTGTCATAGCATTACGTCTCCATCCTTCACCTGGATTTGACCATGGAATTAGTTGATGTTAACTGCGGACGCTGTGCGTCTTAGCGGATTGCAGGCCTACGGAGGAGCAAACGATAAGTACTTATTTTCATTTTGAAGTACTAACCGTTTTATTATCATTATTATCAATCTTGTTATGTTGTTATCTCCACAAACTAACTGACGGGTCTTGTAAGCTAACGTTTCTGAACCCGTATAAATTGATTGTTCATTGTTCAAATTTTGTGTCATTCCTCGTCACAGTGGTGTATGGTACGTACGCTTGATTACACCGCTCATGCGAGCTGGATTTCTGATGCCTCATGCGATCTGCATGAACTTTGGGTTCACGGTGAAAGAGATCAATGGGATCATCCAATGCCACCTCTACACTTCCGTGGAATGTGATGACTTCGAGTTACGGCTGCGCTCCGCCTTCCGCTCTGTTCCAAGCTGACATGATAGCCTGTGTCTTTTGGGACCACAGTTAAACCGAAAAGAGCACATATAATCGTTGATTTGATAACCAAACTAATTTTAGACAATGTAATGCTGTTAGTGGCACAGTTCTGATGCAGAAGTATAGCGTGTGTGCTGGCCGACGGACAGGTTACTATCTTGCTAAACCCCTTAGTATCGGATCCACATATCCTAGTATACCATTTCAGAGAGCTTTGCATCATATCAGTTTACCATTCCATAGACACTGGCTTCTGTGTGTAAAACAACCGAGAGAGGTTCATCATAAGCCGAACTGACCGCGACTTGATCTGATGACTGTGCTATGCCTACTCAGCTGAGACTATAGCAATGTTAATGTATCCGGATATCATGAGATGTAAAGATAAAGTTTATCCATCGCTTGTCCAACTCTACTCCCTTCTTTGTTTTGGCTTCGCAAACAGTCGCTCATGCAAAGAACTGGAACTCATAATACTTTCATTTAAACCAACCAAAACACATTTAAGACTCCCGTGATCACCTTGCCAGTGTCGCTTATCCTCAGTCTACGAGTTCGGTAAGCGTCACAAAGACGTGTTCAGACAAATAGCCAGCTGAGGTCCAGACATACAACCGGCTCGCCGTTGACAGACACTTCACTGCCCTTTGTTCCCCATCACAGCTACTGGCGCGAAGTGGTGGTTACGGTCTCAAGTGATGAGTTAATGTAGCCTCTGCTATTTCCCTCTAGCGTTCTAGGCACCGCCCATATCCGTTCGTGTGGTAACATCCGCTTGTGCGTGCGTGCGTAAGAATCTCAGATACCCCGCTGTGACATGCGTCGTCAAGCTGCTTAAGCTGGAGACCATTCACCCCTCGCGTGTCTCAGAAAGTCAGCTATACCATGTCATAGTGGAACACAATGGAAAGCATGTTTGAGGTTCTATTTACACTAAAGCACAACCTGTGCACATGCATAGCATGGCGCTCACTTCATTTACTGACAGCAGAGCCAACTACGGCCTCAGTATTTGAAGCCTTTCAAAGTGTCTCAATGAGCTGTCTTTTCATTTGCGTACAATGTACCTATATGAATGGGCTGAAGTTTTGTGACGGATAGACAGACAACTAAGGTAAATTGAAAAAATCAAAACTACAGGCAAAATCAATCACTCATCAAATAAAGTAGCACTAGACTATGTGCAATGCATGCAACTCACACAGACAGCTGAATCCACTTCACCTACCCAGCATACGTTCCTTTGCCACGGAATGCAAAGCCACACCAAAAGAAGGCTGACCACGCCCATCGTACGTCTCAACGCGCCATTCCCAGTAATGCAGACCTTTGGAGAAGCCAACACTGCCGAGTATAACGTGGTCTTCGGCATCACCATTTCCGCATATTCGGAGCCCGTCCGGATCCAGATGGGGTACACTACCGAAACGTGGTGCAGATAGCGCACTTGGAACTTCCATGCGAAAGCTCGCAACTGCACGAGGGAATAGAGAAGTAAGTTACCACAAAGCAAACATAATCGATTTCTCACAGTTCAGTGGTCATTGATGATAAATATTACTGTCATACGTACAACTGGATGAAACGCTGAACAATTACACCGGTCCAGTTTTTTGAATACTCAATAGCTGACTCTTCTGATAGGGGATGATGGAACGGAAAAGTCACTGAGTTTGGCGCGTTTGGTTTTCCGTATGCTTGGGGAACCAGTTGCAGCTACTTTACTAGTATAGTCATTCTAAGGGGACAAGCAGGGCTCTAAAAGGCCAGAGAGTTTGCACGAATATACCATAAATATGAAGATTGGGCATTGTTTAATTACCGACCTATTGCTGTTTCACGGTCTGGAAAAACGCGAATTATTCGTCATTTATGAAGAAACGTTCGTAAGCATTTTAACCGAAGCAAATAGGCTGACAGATATTTGATGTGCTTAAACACAGTCTCATCGAGTTAAGAATTATCCGCTCTTGTATCATTTTTAGGCGAAGTACAATTAGTGCACAGTTCTCGCCAATGTCAACTTGGACTGTGTGTTTCATAAGTTACTCTCTACAAGTATTGTTTTCGGAACCCCTCCGATCGAATGGTCAGGTTGTTCAAGCAGAAGCGCCGAAAGCCCAACAAGAATAGTATCGTTTCGGGAATGCAATTTTGGGACCAACTGGCAGGAAGCAATTCCTAAACGGAACTTGAGCATACTCTGATCATAACCCGATCCTCGGAACTCCGCCACTGTATGTTTAGCAACTTTAGTATCACCTTCACAGTAACTGGTGCCGGACGCTGGATGAAAATTGGAGGACGCAATACTTCAACAAAGACACAGAGCATCCTAGCAACGAAAGGACTGGACGAGCAGTCAAACCTACTGGCTACTTATTTCCAACTGCAAGCCACCATTTTCCCTACTGCGCCGCCCACGTGTAATTAGAGCCTGGGTGCGGAGGCCAACCTCTTCTGGTGCGTTTTGAGCACAACCAATAGGAATGCGGTATTTGCCAAACCAGTCACCTGCTCATTTCACAGATGGTTGATAAGTCAAGCGCGATACGTGATCGCGAGAACATAAGTATAGGTGTACCGGTCCGTGAAAACAAAGATCTCCTCAATAGCATGTGCGCATCGGGGTCTACTCTGGCATTCAATGCAGTCATTGGACCGTTCCGTTGCCAACGCAGTTACACAGGATTTGGCCCTCCGAAAATTGTGTGACTTTAACAAAACGAGCTCCCCTTACGTTATTGGAAGTTCTTGCCCGTTCTGTTGTTGCCCCATGGTTCTGAGGTGTTAGCAGCATTGTGTGACCAATTTCATCGTCCCTGCATCCTTCTCAGCGTAGTCTTCTCTGTGTACAGCTAAACTCAACCATGAAAGTGCTTCTGGGCTAGTTAACTTGAATTTTCGAAACATATACCTTGGTTCATATCTGCTGTTAGTTTCATCGATGGTTATTTAACACACGGCTCAGGGGGCTTGCACGATCGATCACATGGATGATCATGATAACAATCCAAAAGATTGTCCTGGCTTGGTGATAAAACTGGCTTCTGTAGGATGCCTGTATGATAAAAACTGCTTTGGTGAGGAAGATAACCTAAAAATGAAAGTCATGTGTTGGCAGAGTGCCTACAAGATATATATTTTGTGACAATTCGTAGTTATCGGCTTTCGTTTCTCTACCGTTTGTTTCTTGACATTAGTTTAAACGCAGCATTTCGTTGTATTGATTGGCCGGCATACGTCGCTCGTAATAGATGTTATTGCTAATACCGTCTCCTCGAACTCGCGTGCTTGCTTCTGACTTTTATCGCCTCTCATTCGTTTGTGTCGTTCAGCTTCCCCCATGTTTATGGTTGGATCCAACATGTTTTGGTAACTTTGTCTCAACGGTTACTGTACTCTATGTAAGTGAAGCATATTTTTTGTATACACTATCCTGGCTCGTTCTCCGCGTTCTCGTTACGGGTGCTAACAGTCTGCGGCGACAGAACGTCATGAAACGAGGGTACAGGAGGCAACATTGAGCCCTTGGATATGGTTATAGTAAAAGTGGCTGCGGTATATCATGGCGCACTGCTGCTGTAGTTGGAAGTTAATAATAGCGGTAAAATCTCATCAACTCGACGTGCGATATTTGAGGGTACCAGAATCAGTAACTGGGCTGCGGCCCATTAATGGCATTGAGATGTGCTACTTGGAGCATAGTACATTATGAATCCTGAGACGGGCGGTGGGAGCTGAGAGGCGCTAAAAAGGGCTCACAGCGTTGACCCAACCTTCACAATTGTAAACAGATATTTAGCAATTCAGCCAGTCCTACTGAGGTTGGTTTTACACGTACGGAACTCCGTACCCTCCGCCGGACCAGAGCAACCCAGTTTAGTTTAGTGAAGTGCACACGTCTTTGCCATCCGCTTAACATGTAACTCGGTATTTCACCTTCCACTTGTCATGCGTTTTCCGACGGGTCTATCGTTTAATCCAGCCAAGTATATGACTAAGGACTACACCACCACATTCTGAGGGAAGATGGGTGTGCAGTCCATTCCATATGAACTAGGTCACCCCGGTCTGCCCAGAGGTGGGGACATGAAGGTTAGCACGGATCAGGTCGATTTGGATATGGGGATTTGCAAACATCTGGGCTGTCACGTTGTGACGCGTCCTTGAAAGCCTTGGAAGGCTTTTGGCCTAACTGACTGTCACGAAGATCACGTCCCGCTGGAAAATGGGATCGCATGCAGACAACAGGTGGTGCGCTGCTTACTAACACAACAGATTAGTGAAGACATTTCCGTTCATAAACTTACGTCGTGGTGTGGTCAGTGTCAAAATGTCTCCGTAAGCACTGTAACCCACGGGATTGGATGCACGAACGCGCAGTCGATAGGTTGTGTTAAACTGCAAACCTTCCAGTCGACATTTTGTCTCCCGACCAGTGTATGCAACCTGTCCAGGAAGATGGAGAACGGGTGTGTAGCAGAGGTCATTATTCAAGTAGAATGCGTCTCTGACGCAGACACTAGACGAATGACTATAGGTTTAGCCAATTCACAGACAAGCAGGACCAGCGTGGAACAGCTTACATTGTAAGAACCTTACGTTTTGAAAGTGATTCTACAATCAGTACATGGAGTAACGGAAGGACTAGTGGGTTAAGAAAAAAGTGCACAGAATTCCATAATAATTAAGAGTCACATGATACTTCAGCCCTTTCTTCTCGATATTCACAGCCGCGAGATGTCTTTATGTCTCTGATCCTTGATAATAAGGTGGCTGGGTTAGTGAAGACAAAATATTCATCTAACGATTGGGCTGGTATCGGAGACGTGGCAATGAAAGGAATGCGAGAGCCGCATCGATGAGAATGCAGCCGTTAAGGTGAAAACACTTTATTCCATGCTTTCGTAGGTCAACCACTAAGTGACCTCTCGACCGATATCACTGGGGAAGAAATGGGGAATGACTGGGCAAGTGGGCTCCAACCTTTTAACGAGCGACTTAAATAAATAAGCAACTGAATTATTATCCGCGGTGCGAGACACGCCTTAAAAGGCTTGATAATGAAAATACAGCTTGCAACATCAGTAATGGTACAGCAATGTTGCAAGTTAACCAGTACATACTGGATATATGTGTGTATGTATATGGGTTCATGGGTAAGTCGTTATGTTGAATGAAATTGTTACCAGTATTATTAATTTGTGTTCTTTTTGCGAATTCGACAATATAGGAATGGATCAGACTAAACGTTTGAAGTGGTTGACGTTCGCGAACCGTGTAAAATCCTCCGGTATGGCAAGAGACAATGACTTTCTGTAGTGGCTAGTCATATCCGCCACGTCACAGTGTTGTTAAGCAGATATATGTGGCTTTTTATAGGGAGAACACTTGACAGGTGAAAGCCCACAACGTCCTGGAACACTGCCGCCAAACTATTAGCTAGAGCGGGATTAACCCGAACCACCCAGCTGGCACCACGTGGAGGTAGTTCGCCTAGCCAGCCAGCTAGCCAGCTGTGAACTACATCGTATAGTCGTAGTTGACATTTTGGAAATTTCGCCTTTGCAGGCCTCTGCAGCTGCGTGCTTAACGCTCGTACATTGCTAAACGGCACACCAGTTTGCATCAACAATCTAATATTCAAAATATTTCCCAGATGAAATCGGCTGCTAAGTTCGCACAATGGGATGAATACCACACCGCGGCAAAGCAATTCGCTCGTTATGCCGTTTAGAACTTCAGCAATTCGGCTACATCACCGGATAAAACTTTGCATCTTAACTAGGATAGAAACCAACAAAATTCCCTCATTATTTGAATCCTGAAAATTCGAAAACGTAAGTTTTGATGTGACTCGGTCATTCCGTGCACAAATAATCTTTCACTAACTTCGCACGAGATCGATACATGGCCAAGCGGCGACAAACTGTTTTGTTTTGTGCTTTTCTGACTCCTTGTTAAGCAACAGATAAGTGGAAATATGGCATTATTTCTTCACCATCCCAATGCAGAAGCAGGCGTTTCTTACTGAAGAGCATTTTAAAGTACTCCGTGGGTTGGATCAAAATAGAAACGCGGTTATGTTGAGGCTTGATATAAGCCCCTTAGCCAGGGCAGTGCCCTAGTAAGATGGAGACGTTATTTTTTGACAACACAAACTTCAGGTTAGACACCTTTCGCACAAGCTCTTTAGTCGAGAAGTTGTGTAGTGTTGCTGCTTAAAGCCCCATGGATTCATCTCCGAGGAAGCGCGTACCACGCTAAAGGCTGTGGGTACCGAAACTTCACAAACGTGAGTCCTGACTAAAGTGTATACATTACGAATGCCGATGAGGCTATTGGTGAATTATTTTTGAGAACGAGCGGTGTAAGCGGATTGCGACACACTATGAATGTGGACTACGATTCACACAGAAGTGAATCCTGGTCAAATCAGTCGTTGGGACGTAGGGAGGTGTTAGACGTTGTTCACATGCGACGCTGTGTTTTACGACCGGTTGTGTACTCTGTTCCACTCATTAGAAATTGATAGTAGGACTGCGACTGGAAGCAGGAAACATTGGAGTGTCAGGTTATGTTGCTACCCCTAGGCCATATGTCGTGTCACCTTAATTTGACTTGGTCGATTCGTTTACGCCACCCACGCCGCGTAGTTAGCATAAATTGGACCAGCCCCATGTTTTTGCATCTGGCTGGTTGCATCTGTACACGTCTACCTAGTTCACTGCAACGCGTGTACATGCAGACAGGCTCATACATACATACCGTTGCTACTGTGATTTTCTGCTTTTCGGGACACAACATCATAAAAGCGCATCGTCCAACGTCTGTCACAGAGGTTGAGTCCTTGGTGGATCCCATTCGGGTAGCAGTTTCGCTATCTCTACTTAATGTGGGAAAATGGGTACGTAGCCGATTATGGAAAGCGGGGATACTTGCTAGCAAGTCCTAACAGCTATACAACCGATTATCTCCATCGTCGATTCTTCATGCCAGACCTTTGCTGTATGAATGAACAGCACATTTGAGCTTGTCAGAAGACTCATATTAAATAATTCGTTGTCAAGCCTCTTCGAGCTGTTTCCTAACTTGGAATGCGTAAATTTAAGCAGAAATCAGGTGAGTTCTTTCGGTGTTGAGTACCTCCTCACAAACATCTTGCTGAATGAGGCCGATGTCTATCAGTGTATGTTTACCTCGAAACTCTGTGTCCGATTATAGGTACTCCAGAAAATTGTTGGCGCACCTATTGCTTTTAGGTACGCAAAGTGCCAAGTTTTAAGTTCAAGAAAAAACATATCGACAATTGGCTTGTGTGCAAATAAGTAGCTCATTAGGCCTCTTGCTCGCAGACGTACTCATGGGCATGCTCGAAAGGGTCTATAAGTTTATACAAGCGATGTTGACTACGTACCGCTACTCACGGATTCTTATGTGAAGGTCGTGCATGTGCCCGGTATACTATTGTAAGTCAGATTCCCAATTTAGAAGGTGTGGCGTACGAAGACCGGTGTAAGAAACTAGGGATTCATACCCCAGCTTATCATCGACTGGGAGTTGACCTCATCATGACGCACTGTATATTACATCTGGGTGATAACCCCTTGTTGTGGCGGCTGCTTCATCTGGCACACCAAGCAGCACATGAGGACATCGGTGCAAGCTTGTAGCACCGGACTTGAAGCCGATCGCTCACCAACTCTGTTTCGAACGGAGAGTGGTGAATGTATGGAATAACGTGCCGCAGCACGTAGTTGAGGCAAAGTTGGTGTCGGAATTTAGGAAATTCCTGCACGAACACTGCCGATCTACACTATATCAAGTGCACTCCAATATAACGGGCCTTTGTCCCTGAGTGACATTAGAAGCAACTACACAGTGATATCCCTTCTTGCTGCTTCCAACCGGTAACCAGTAATCAGTAAGAACACGCGCATATAGAGTAGGCGACTACAGTCTGTACACGTGACCAAGTCATGAGTCAAGTGCATCGATTGACGGAGGGTGGCGCATGATAACCAATCACAACACACACTCAACACTATGCAACAAAATCTTCCCGTGACGTGTGTTAGTGAGCAAAACAACCGTCTTCTGCACCTAGACACATTGACTACGCTACCACCAGGTGGCTCGATCACATCAGTGTACAGAAAAGCAACCCATGAGTTTATTCTCGATACAATACAAGTTTTGTCTCTTCTGGACATAGCTCCAGCTGGCCCATATGACTTGCACCTAGACACATTCGAAGCACAGAAAGACCCGCTGTTCGATAAAGTGCAAACCATCAGTTATCCGTTGGTGTTTATAAAGCAGTTGCGTGGCACAACCAATATAGAACATGTAGCAACAGTGTAAGAGAAGCTGATATTTATTGAGCTGCGGCTTAAAAGTGACCACGTTAGGTGACTCACACGGAGCTAATGGCTGCTTCCTGGAAAAGCGGTAGTTGTTCACGCCTACAATACCTCTGTTTCCGACTTCGCGTAAGATCGCAACGACGAGACAGGCACGTCCAATTGTCTATGGAAATCCATCTGCACCTGTGGAGGTGCGCATCAGCCGCACTGATCAAAATTCAGCTGTTCTACTCAACAAAGACATACGCAAGAGTTACGCAGCCAGATGGAACATGCAACGGCGCAATCGGGTGAGTCGAGAAACCGAAGCACCTCCCCAGTCACAAGGCATTCGCTGAGCTCTGGCTTCCAAGTCAAGCCAGATGAGCAACGCTTCAGCCGTTAACAACTAGGCCGTATTCCACTCCCAGCTCAGCTTATCCCTACCCTATGAATCCAGACGAGGACGAAACCGGTCATGCGGTGTCAGGGTTGGGAAGTGCACCGAAACCTCTCCAACCCCTATGAGCCATTCAGTGTCCTAATGAGCAGTCAACGCACTCATACTCTCAGGCGAATGGAAGCCATTGTTATGGATTGATAGCGGACACCGTTGGGGTGCATTAACATCTATGGATGTGGGCCTATCACTGTAGCGCAAAGCGCACCAATTAGTTACCACCTGAACACCTATCGGTCGCATGTGACCGCGTTATATCGTGTCTATCGGGGCTTACGTAGTAATGATTGATACAGATGTATGAAAGGACCGAGTCTTCTCAAAACACACCTTCACCACCCCGTTTAGAATGAGAAGAAGTGACTCCAACTCTCCACAAAGATATAGGGGCAGGTAGATGTGACGATTAACTTGTGTCCAGCCAACTGACTACAGAGCGTAGACCACAACCATAATCAGGTAGGAAGCGCTATTTTGTGTGTTACCGTCCAATTCATGCCCCAGAATGCAAAATCTATTTTCAGGAGAGGATTCATCGCTGCTGGACTCAATCAGACAGCCATTACACATCCAGGAAAGCGCTAGACGGCCGCATCCTCCTACTGGGACTCGTCAGTAACGTGCACCTGTGATGGTAGTATACA